TCTGCCAATAATTGCTCAACATTTCAGAGTTCAATCTTGAGAAGTCTGTATTTCAAACAGTATTTGTAGTACGGATGGTGGCTTGTTTGCTCCATTTTGTTATTCTTGTGAAACCTGAATTAATACAAAATAAAGCATTTAATCACAAAGATGTGCTGTGCAAACATCCCGTCTCTTTATTTGTCTTGAAGTAATTAGTGCTCTTCTCTTAAGTGGCTGCAGGACACTTAGAAACAGTGAGCTACTCAGGAGAGGCTAATTGTGTTTAGAAGTCTGCATCTCTGTTCAGAATAATGAGCGATCTCCAATAGAGAAAACTGTAAGTAGTAGCAATAGAATAACACAAACAAATGTTCACAATAAAGTGTTATATTTATATAAGCTTCATATCCTATGTATACCTTTAGGTACTTACAGTAGTTTCAAGTAAATTACTTCTCTCATGAATATGCAAATGTTTCAGCAAGATGCTGCAGTCGATAAGATCAGTGTAATGCATCATTTTAGTGAAATAGTCATTTTTGCTTTTTACTACTTTTTGTTTTAATAAACTAAAAAACAAATGTCACTTCACAGTATCAGCGATGAAAACGTAATATAAGACTCATTCTGACAGTGTTTTTTTATAATCACAGCTAGCTGCTGTTGTGATGCAGGCTCACTGCAGCAGGTTGAAGGTCTTTTGTGAAGTGTTGCTGCCCTCTGCTGCACAAACTCAGAATTGCTCTCACTGCAGTGACTGTTTAAATGTATCTATACATAGTGCAAAAATAAAGGTGAGTTTACTATTTCATAAAGAATATAAAACATAAACTGATTTTGAAATTCCATACATTGAAAAAAGAAATGTTGCAAGCTTGATAAATTCATTACATGATTACTGAAGTCTTAAATCTACATATTTTATAGAACGTTTAAATCTAATTCAATCATCTTTTAAAAATAATAATTCACCTTTATAGAATGTAAAAAATACATTAAAACTATTTTATCAGGCTGACTAAAGATCTGAAAGTAGGTTCCCTTGGGAAATATACAGATGTTATGATTTAAGTTTTGCAAACAATTGTTACAAAGTACTAACTGTATTTAAGGCTAGTTAATTATATTTTTAAAAAAGTAAAAGGAAATACATTAAAAACTAGTGATCATTTGTATGATCTTTTAATTACAATGTACTGAGACCTTCATATTGAGGTTATGTTAATAGAGTCCTCACTGCGTGGGAACAGCTCAGTATTCTCCCACTGGGCTCCATGGTCCTCACCCACACAGATGCTCAATGCCCAAGGTTATCACAAACCGCCTGAACCTTCTGAGAAGCCTACAAGCCTAATTTCTAATTTCCATATCTATTAAAATAAATATATTTAAAGCAGGTCTACTGTAAGTGCTCTTTAAAGTATGTGATAGTATCATAATGCTCAATCCTTTGAGAAATACAACCTTTAAACAGGCCATGAGGACATTTCACAGGTTTTAAATGTCAACATTCTAAAAGTGCCCCAGTTACAGAACATCAGCTGACAGGAAGTAAACATGGAGCCAAACTTGCTCAGACTGTATATATAAAGCTTGAAACACAATTCTGTTGAAGATGCTGAAACGGAGCCTTTAAGACACAGGGTAAAAGCAGGTACAGTGGGGCAAAAAAGTATTTAGTCAGCCACCAATTGTGCAAGTTCTCCCACTTAAAAAGATGAAAGGCCTTTAATTGTCATCCTAGGTACACTTAAACTATGAGAGACAGAATGGGGGGAAAGAATCCAGGAAATCACATTGTAGGATTTTTAATGAATTAATTGGTAAATTCCTTGGTAAAATAAGTATTTGGTCACCTACAAACAAACAAGATTTCTGGCTCTCACAGACCTGTAACTTCTTCTTTAAGAGCCTCCTCTGTCCTCCACTCGTTAACTGTATTAATGGCACCTGTTTGAACTCGTTATCAGTATAAAATACACCTGTCCACAACCTCAAACAGTCACACTCCAAACTCCACTATGGCCAAGACCAAAGAGCTGTCAAAGGACACCAGAAACAAAATTGTAGACCTGCACCAGGCTGGGAAGACTGAATCTGCAATAGGTTGGTGTGAAGAAATCAACTGTGGGAGCAATTATTAGAAAATGGAAGACATACAAGACCACTGATAATCTCCCTCAATCGATCGAGGGAGATTATCAGTGGTCTTGTATGCAAGATCTCACCCTATGGGGTCAAAATGATCAAAAGAACGGTGAGCAAAAATCCCAGAACCACACGGGGGGACCTAGTCAATGACCTGCAGAGAGCTGGGACCAAAGTAACAAAGGCTACCATCAGTAACACACTACGCCGCCAGGGACTCAAATCCTGCAGGGCCAGACGTGTCCCCCTGCTTAAGCCAGTACATGTCCAGGCCCGTCTGAAGTACGCTAGAGAGCATTTAGATGATCCAGAAGAGGATTGGGAGAATGTCATATGGTCAGATGAAACCAAAATAGAACTTTATGGTAAAAACTCAACTAGACGTGTTTGGAGGAGAAAGAATGCTGAGTTGCATCCAAAGAACACCTACTGTGAAACATGGGGGTGGAAACATCATGCTTTGGGGCTGTTTTTCTGCAAAGGGACCAGGACGACTGATCCGTGTAAAGGAAAGAATGAATGGGGCCATGTATCGTGAGATTTTGAGTGACAACCTCCTTCCATCAGCAAGGGCATTGAAGATGAAACGTGGCTGGGTCTTTCAGCATGACAATGATCCCAAACACACCGCCCGGGCAACAAAGGAGTGGCTTCGTAAGAAGCATTTCAAGGTCCTGGAGTGGCCTAGCCAGTCTCCAGATCTCAACCATCCATCCATCCATCCATCTTCTCCCGCTTATCCGTGGTCGGGTCGCGGGGGTAGCAGTTCCAGCAGAGAGCTCCAAACTTTATTTTCCCTGGCGACATCAACCAGCTCTGACTGGGGGATCCCAAGGCGCTCCCAGGCCAGCGAAGAGATATAATCCCTCCACCTGGTCCTAGGTCTACCCCTTGGTCTCTTCCCAGCTGGACGTGCCTGGAACACCTCCCTAGGGAGGCGCCCAGGTGGCATCCTAACTAGGTGCCCGAACCACCTCAACTGGCTCTTTTCGACGCGAAGGAGGAGCGGCTCAACTCCGAGTCCCTCCCTGATGACCGAACTTCTCACCTTATCCCTAAGGGAGACACCAGCCACCCTGCGGAGAAAACCCATCTCGGCCGCTTGTATCCGCGATCTCGTTCTTTCGGTCATGACCCATCCTTCATGACCATAGGTGAGGGTAGGAACGAAAATGGCCCGGTAGACAGAGAGCTTTGCCTTCTGGCTCAGCTCCCTTTTCGTCACAACGGTGCCGTAAAGCGACTGCAGTACCGCTCCCGCTGCTCCGATTCTCCGGCCCATCTCACGCTCCATTGTTCCCTCACTCGAGAACAAGACCCCGAGATACTTGAACTCCTTCACTTGGGGTAAGGACTCATTCCCTACTTGAAGTGGACAGTCCATCGGTTTCCTGCTGAGAACCATGGCCTCAGATTTGGAGGTGCTGATCCTCATCCCAGCCGCTTCACACTCGGTTGCGAACCGATCCAGTGAGTGCTGAAGGTCGCAGACCGATGAAGCCATTAGAACCACATCATCTGCAAAAAGCAGTGGTGCAATCCTTAGTCCACCGAACTGCAGACCCCCTCCCCCATGACTACGCCTCGAAATCCGATCCATGTAGATTACAAACAGGATTGGTGACAAAGCGCAGCCCTGGCGGAGGCCAACCCTCACCGGAAATGGGTCCGACTTACTGCCGAGGACCCGGACACAGCTCTCGCTTTGGGAGTACAGAGATTGGATGGCCCTGAGTAGAGACCCCCTCACCCCATACTCCCGCAGCACCTCTCACAGTAACTCCCTGGGAACTCGGTCATACGCCTTCTCCAAGTCTACAAAACACATGTAGACCGGATAAGCGTACTCCCAGGCCCCCTCCAGGATCCTTGCGAGAGTAAAAAGCTGATCCGTCGTTCCACGACCAGGACGGAATCCGCATTGTTCCTCCTCAATCTGAGGTTCGACAATCGGGCCTGACCCTCCTTTCGAGTACCTTAGAGTAAACTTTCCCGGGGAGGCTGAGTAGTGTGATGCCTCTGTAATTGGCACACACCCTCTGATCCCCCTTTTTAAAAAGGGGAACCACCACCCCGGTCTGCCACTCCTTCGGTACTGTTTCCGACTTCCACGCAACGTTGATGAGACGTGTCAACCATGACAGTCCCTCAACACCCAGAGCCTTCAGCATTTCCGGGCGGATCTCATCCACCCCCGGGGCTTTGCCACTGTGGAGTTGTTTGACGACCTCAGTGACCTCCCCCCGGGAGATTGGTGTTGATCCCCCGTCATACTCCAGCTCTGCCTCTAACATAGAGATCTCAACCCCATAGAAAATCTTTGGAGGGAGTTGAAAGTCTGTGTTGCCCAGCGACAGCCCCATAACATCACTGCTCTCGAGGAGATCTGCATGGAGGAATGGGCCAAAAATACCAGCAACAGTGTGTGAAAACCTTGTGAAGACTTACAGAAAACGTTTGACCTCTGTCATTGCCAACAAAGGGTATATAACAAAGTATTGAGATGAACTTTTGTTATTGACCAAAGACTTATTTTCCACCATAATTTGCAAATAAATTCTTTAAAAATCAGACAGTGATTTTCTGGATTTTTTTTTTTTCTCATTTTGTCTCTCATAGTTGAGGTATACCTAGGATGGAAATTACAGGCCTCTCATCTTTTTAAGTGGGAGAACTTGCACAATTGGTGGCTGACTAAATACTTTTTTGCCCCACTGTATATTGACAGGTAAAATACTTTTTGTTTTTTTAATACAATAGGGAATGTAAACAGGTTAATTAGTAGAAACTCAAAATAAAAGTGAAACTACAATATGTGACTTGTACTGTAAGTGTCTTAAAATCTGAATAAATAGATTCACAACTCAGCGTGCATGATTGAAATAATTTATTGGATATTCATATATGGTAATATAATGGGTTCATCATGGTTGGCATATAAAATATGTACAAAGCAAAGCATTAGTAAAAATGACAGATCCTGCTAGGAAAGTATGTGCTTATATTGTAGAAGGCGGTAATATCTCAGCAACTTCCAAGAGGATTTCTTCATTAACAATCATTGATCCTGGATGTCGGTATCCCAGATGTGCAGGTTCCAGTAGATAATAAGCTCAGCTTGAAGTCTAAGTGGTGCTCAGATTAAAAAAGGCTGCAGTTGGAGGGTTTGGACTCTCTCACCTAAGCAAAGAGAAAATATAGTTAGAAACAGACTTATTTATTCAATACATACATGTCATTATTAAAAGCATGTGAAAAGGAAATGAGTCGTTCTACTGCCAATAAAGAAAGTTCAAAGGGGATGGATTACCATGACAACAGTGTACGTACATGTGATCCTGTAACATGCTATCGGCGCCTAAGCTTTCCGGGTACCTGTTGTCTCTGCTGCTGGCGTCTGTACTCTTCCTCACTGGCAGCGAGAGCCTGAGCCAGAGCCTGGTCCTCCTGCTCCTGAGGGCTGAACGCAGACAAGGACATCTTAAAATCACAGTTCAGTGGGGGGGGGGGGGGAAACCCACACACCACTAAGTCAGAAATATTATCAGGACTTTTAGTGTGACAATAGGGTTGGCAATTGGTGCATTCACTAGATATTATGAGATCTTTAAATATAGGAAATGACAACACTTTGGGGTATTTAGTTTCAAAGCATGATATTGATATAACATCAATATATGTTGCCCTACTGCTTCCCTATAATTATTTGTACAGCACATTTGACTGAGGATGTGTGTTTATATAATTAGGTAATATAAAAACAAACCCGTTCCCATGACTTGAGATTCATTCTTAAACTTGAAAACAGCAGCAAAGAATCTTAACCCTTTATAAGCTGTTCCAAAGGTTCTCATTGAAACACAAACAGAGGTTGAGGGAATTTGTGTCCAAAGGAACCTTATAAATGTAATAATATATAATAGAATAGATGGAATGGTATTAAGTAATTGACATACAGTACATGTCTTTTTAATGCACATTTCTTGAAGTTAGTGTTGTGTAAATGTAGACATACTTTTATGTCAAAAATCTTAGGCGATCACATTTTGTATCATTATGATTGTATTGGTGTTATCTTATGTTTTACTTTGATGCTTTAATGCTTAGTTGATGCTTTTATGTTCTGCTTTCAGCCCTTCCTGCTGTAAAACCTCAGTTCCTCAGCTCGGAAACTACTATTTCAAGCTAAAGGTCTGTGAGAAAAACACAATCCACCCAACAGGATCACGCTGCCAAGAGTGTGTTTGGAGTCATGTTGAACCGTTATTAGAATCTGTCTGGGTTTTGATGAAGTTTACTCACGTTAGAGGCGGCTGAACTGCCGGCCTCGTTTCAGCCAAAGACATCTCCAGAGCCCTTTGTAAAGCCTGATCCTCCGTCTGCAAACACAGCACCAGAGCAGGACGTCACGTTTACTTGAAATGAGGATCTCAGAGGTATTTAATCAGGGGATGTCGTGCATAGCGCCCTTACCAATCCGGCCTGAAATGATGCCGATGGTGGCATTACACTCTGTGCAGAGGCTGAAGTAGGAATCCGAGGGGTAGCACTACAAAAGAAAGTGGTGAAATTAAGTTTTTAGATGCTTGAAAATTGATTATGTGAACCATTTTCAATAAAGACTTTTTATAAACTTACCCAGAGCTTTGGCCTCTGTTTGCACTGACACCGTTAGAAAAGGGTCTAGAGGGTCCTGAACTGGAGGAACTAGACCTAGAACCAGAGGCAGAGCTGGAGGAAGCAGCTTGGGTCCTCATTAGAGCAGCATTTCTATGACACAAAAAAGAACAAAGTCAGCAATTATTACTGCATATTCAGTGGATGAGACTTCATTATCTGAAGTAGTGGGACTGTACCCACCCTGATTTAGACGGAGGTGCCCCACCAGTCTTGCATTCGTGATCTAGAGAGTGTCGGTGCTTAAGACAGTAGTTTAAATGACACTGGTCACAGGTCACTCGGATCATTTCCTTCTGCTTACACCCCCCTCTAGAACATTTATTGGTGAAAATCTGCAAAAAGAAAAACAGCCTTTTATTTTTGGGATTCGTACTCATTGTAAGGTGAATCACCTCAGTTCTTATATTAACCTTTCTCTTTCTCTGCGCAGGGTCCGATTTGCAATCCCGATCAATGTGTTCGCCGACTTTAATGTCGGGCATCTCTCCTCTCTTTACAGGGATGGGGATGTTGCACAAAGGACATACTGGGACCTGGATGTCCTACAAGAAAACAAAAAAAACTCTAAAGAAACACAAAGTTGCAAATCCTCAAATTGAAAATATTTGCATGACTACTGTTGTTAACCTTGACATGTCTCGGTATTAAGGATTTCAAAATCAGAACAGATATGGAAGATGTATACATTTTTTGCAAATTGCGGTGTGTTATACACCCAAATGTAATTAAAGTTTAAATGTGTTTTTAACTTCATATAAACAACCTAAGAAAATGACTTCCATTATTGTGTAGCCTTTAAATGAGAAATTACACTGTAAACATAGTAAAGAAGTTGAATTGTTCTGCAAACTTTCCCAAAATCAACGAGTCAATCAAACATACTTAGTATATTCTAATTACCTTTTGGTAAGCGGACATGCATTTGTGAGTTGCATAGGTGATGTGGTCCTTACAGAAAATCTCTTGACAGGCGTCACATTTCATAGGAAGAAAATCTGTAATGTGAAGCAAGGTTTAAGACTTTCAGGTTCAAATTAAGCAGTATAAACCAGCTGGACATTGTCAGCCTTCCTAAACAGCACTCACCTAAACGTTTGCAGGTCTGCTCAGAGCAGTGTTCTCCTAAATGTGGCAGCTCCATCACATACAAATATCTTGACAGCCGACAGTAGTAAAATCTCCACAACCTGAAGGAGAGAGAAAGGAAAATATTAAGCGTTTCGAACTAAACTGACAGATTAAGTTACGTCAACAGTCTGTTCTCTGAAAAGGGTCTCAGTGTAGGCTTCAGGACGTTATCTTTGGAATAAGCTGTGTCATTCGTAAGTTGCTTATTGCTAGTATCGTGTCAAGAAATAATTACTTATTCTAAACATTTTGCACAAAAAAAAAAAATTCGACTCTGAAGTGATTATGGTTTTGCTGTCAGAGGTTGTTTGGTCCAGAAAACGGTAGAATACTCAATGTAACGAGTAAAGGTTGCTAACTTGCTAGCTAGGCCAGGCTAACTTATAAGATTATGTTGGTTACATAACTAGCTCACGTTACAGATAGAAAAGGCTCTACTATGCCATTATTGGCAACAGCGTAACGACAAACATAAATAACTATTCTGTGAAAATCTAAGACAAAAATAGGTTTTCAAATCGCCATCAGTAATAATTGTTATTTAACCACACAAATGTTAGAAGCTAGCTTGGTTGTTGTTAAGCAATCAATACATCTTGTCTAAAAAGCATCATATAACAGTGTCAAGCGAATTATCTGCTTCCCTGTATCCCTCACCAGACTAAACCCAAAGAAGGAACACAGTAAACTCAATTGTAATGTTGCTTTTTTCAACGTTAATCAAATTGTATTTTTAGCTGACCAAGCTAGCTAACGTTTCCTGAATCCGACAGCTCATCGTAGCTTTTGTTTAATTATCACTCACCAAATCCCGTTCTCGTGTCGGTCTGTAGGGTTATAGTTGGAGGCAACGATGATATTTTTTAATAATTCCGATGTTTTCGTGGCTTTTTGACAGCCGTCTGATCGCACGGATCCCTGAGCACCGCTGCCTGTTTGTGAGCCGCTGAGCTGTCTGTTTTCATTACGTTTTGATGTGTCACGCACGCTCCTCCCAGGAGAATGACGTAACCTGACGTCAACAAGCACAAGTCACGCTCAGGTGTGGTTTTATCAACAGTCACTAGAAATCACAAGAAACTTCTGGAAACTTCCAAATGACTTGTCATGCCTGGAAAGACGTTTTAGGTTGGATATTTTAAAGACATAGCTTTGAATGACAAAAGAAAACTAATGTTACAACTGACATGATGCAAATAAATATAACTTTTATAAGCTTGCTAGGGTTATGTCAAGTGATCCTCATGACCCTTAAAGGTCCCATGTCATGGCCATTTTTACTGATCATAATTCCATTGTTGAGGTCTACTAGAATAGATTTACATTGTTCAATGTTCCAAAATCCCATTGGTTTTCTCTCTGTATAGTATGTGTATTCACTCTCTGTCCTACACGCCTTGTTGGAGCTCCTGCATTAGGCTAATGGAGATGCAGTTATTTCCAGTATTTTTTATTTACCATTCATTCAAGTATTGTATGCCTTTTATCTTCTAATGTACAGGAGGAAGAGTGATAAACTGTCTGTCTAGTTAGCTTACATAACAGTTAAAGTTTACGGCCTAAAACACATGGAGCATTTTTTCCCCCTTTTATTCATTTGTATGTCAATTTGCACATTTCATAGTGATGCTCAGCCTCTCCCCTTAACTCCTAACAGTCATCATCATGAACACAACACAGAGAAATACTGATAGAAATGTGTGTGTAGTTGTTGATACATTGCTGACAGAGGGAACTACATTTGAATACAGATTTAAGAAATATGAGTTTTTGAGCATGTAATAAGCATGTTTTGTCTTGACTATATTACAACTATATTATAATAAAAATAATATAGTATTTATATTATTGAATTGATTATGATTATTATTATTATTAGTAGAAGTAGTAGTTTATTTGCATTAATTATATTAAAAACTGCTCTGGAGATGTTGTAATTTCTCCACAAAAGTGAGTTACAGGAACTGTACCCAAATCTCTGGATTGCCCTCCGCATTGCAGTAACTCTTCCTGTTACAGTTGCGTCTGCTGAGAGAAGCTTTTCCAAACTGAAGCTTATGAAGACGTAACTCCGGTCGTCAATGGCACAAGAACGTGGCCTGGCTATCATAAGCATCAACGCACAGTTGGCACAGCAGCTGTCATACGATGACCTTGTCGATGACTTTGCATCCAGGAAATGCCGACGTATTCACCTGTAAACGCATACTGAATGACATACATGCACATTTACCATTGACCTCACTGTATAAAAAAGTAACTGTGTTGATAATAATAATAATAATAATAAACAGGAATTATATTTGCAAAGTACTGTGTTTCGAAAAAAAAAGTTTCATTCCTGTCGGTGGGGGGGGGGGCTCGTCTCACAATGTTGCTTGAGGCCCCAAGTTGGCCAGGGACGGCCCTGATTACTGGTGTTGTTTCCTGGTTGCTGCGTGGCGTCTGCGAGACAGCGAGACACCGCGGAACTCAGCCTGAGCACACACACGTGTGTGGCGAACTGTGAGTGGAGATCCACGGAGCCGCGGCTGAGAAAAGATAATGCTGAGTGAGTGTGTGTGCCGGCGAAGTCAGGGGCGGTTCTAGGGGGGGGCAGGGGGGGGCGTTTTCTACTGGCACATTTTACCGGCGTATTTTTCATTATGATTCTACTTGTGATAGTCGGACATTACAACCTGTGCAGCCCATGTATTGATTCCATCCGATAGCTGCTATATTACAAAACAAAACGTCTGCCTGCTCTCCACAATGATCAATAATGGCGAACGGATGGTCAAAGTAAGGTACAAATAAACAGAATCACACTAAGCCTGGTTTGTGTTGCCTGACTTTATAAAGTGTGTTTTGTTTTTATAAGTGTGTGGTTGCGTTCACTTTGGTCAGCGCTACTGCTTGTTACAACTTTCATTTGCAGTACTCGCCATAAACTGCTATTGCTCAGGTTGATCCTGCCCCTGCACCCGCCTCTGACGTAAGCAAAAGTTCTTGCTTCTAGACCGATAATTTTTTGGTGCTTGAAAAGCACCGGTTTTCAGAGTTTTCAGAGTTCACACCGCTGCGGTGTGAACAGGAAAAAATTGTGCTTTTCAGGCTCTAGCTCCGAACCGGCCCTGGAACCATGTTGGTGTGAAAGGGGCATAACCAGGGGTGCACATAACTTTTTTGCCCTGGTTCTCAAAGGAGCACCTGGAGATGTTGCTTGGTGCTCATCCTTAAAATGAAATAAACCGTAACTTTTGAGGGGGTCTTGACTTTATTTGCCAGACACACGGCACTGAACACACAGAGGTGCACACAGAACACACATGCAGAGGTGAACACAAGACAACATTAGCACGACCAGTAATCCTACAAGCTGTCATCACTACCCTCCTGACTGTTCTCCTCACTGTCTTCCTCTCTGTCAGACATGGTAGCTGATGATGTAGGCCTACTTCTTTCTCTCTGGTTGAGTCTGCGATTAGCTGCTTGCATCCACAAGTCAACAGCTGGTTATGGGTCGAAAGTCTCTGTTGTCATCTTAGACAAGTGGATGTAATCAAATAAGTATGTGAACATAACCAATAACCTACCATAGCCAATAACAAATTAATGTAACTTATTTTATTTGTGTTGTTCATTCATATCTTATTTTACCTTAACATTTATTTATTTATGCATTTTTTTTTGTATCTCTCCAGTTTTAAAGTATATTTTTGGTTACTTCCTATAGTATACATTGGAATGATTTCAAACCTGTTTATCCCAATAATTATAAAGGAGTGCCTTGGAAATATGTGTTTACATAAATTGTGACCAAACCGTTTGAACTTAGACTAAGAGTCCTTTACCTCACTGAGCTGTAGTTACTTATCAGCCTCTCAGTCTGACTGGAGAGGACTCTCCCTCCACATTATTGTAGAAACATCTTCTTCTTATATCCGTTAGAGCAGCTAGCACGGCACCAGATTCTAATAACAACAGCGCTGGTACCGGTGCACCCTCCCTCTCACTCGCATTTTGTCTGTGAGCTGCGGGCGCCAGATAAGCCAACATCCCTCATTTTCATCACTTACAGCGCCCATCGTACAGGGCAAATGAAACGTGTAACCGGGGTGAAAAGGGTGTTACATTTACTTAATTATGAATATTGTTACATCAAGGCCGAAAATTAGGATGAGACCCAACGGTCAAAATGTTTTCTTCCCTCCCAGAACTGCCAGCGCAGCACCTCCCCAGATCTGGCGCCCTAGGCGAACATCTAGCCAGTGCTACGGGCCGGCCCTGAGTTCATATCATGGTTCATATGCAACTCGCAAATATCTTTCTCTCTCTCTCTTCTCTCCTCTATTTTCTCTTTTCCCTTCTCTCTCTCTCTCTCTCAATGTTGGTACGCAAATGCGCTTTGTTTCAAATGACCCGGTGCTCTTTTTTTGGCGGAGGTGCGCATGCGCACCTGCGCACCAGTTATGTGCAGCCCTGGGCATAACACTGACTTTGGACCCCCCTGTGGACCCCCTGAAAAGGGAAAAAGAAAAAAAAAAGTTTGATTTCCTGGCTGACGGAATAGGTAATTCTAGTAACTGTAAGTATCTGAAATAAATATGTGTACTGAAACAAATACCAACCAACTGTATTGAATTGTTTTCTTATGCGCAATTACTTCATACTGTCTTTGTCTTTTTCATCCTGCATTTATTGTGCCCCCCTCAGAAAATAAATGGAAAAAGAAAAATCTCCAACGAGGCGTTCTGGGGCAGCATAGACAGGTATTTTCTGTGTTAGAGTTTTACTCGCTACAGGGTGTACTTTGGGGGTTTGTGACTTTGCAGACTGTTTACATGCATAAAAAGCTACATAACACACAAGGGGACGGGTAATAACCGGAAAAGCATGACATGGGACCTTTAATACACATAAGTTGTTGAAAAATGACTTCAAATCATGACAGCATTTTTAAAACACAATTCAACTAGGGCACCCTCCTTTTATTGGATTTTTATTCACCTTGTATTTTATATGAATATTCTTTTAAATACAAAATCAGCAATATTTTATAATGCTAACTTCACTGTGGTTACATTCATGTTTGGTGTACACTATAGGCAGTGTCTTACCAATGTGGTTGTTTTAAGTACAAATTACAATATTTATTAATAAAGTACATCTTATCTTATTATTAAAGGAACAAACTAAACTGATTTTTACTGCATACAATTTTTATTATTTAATTTCCGTTTAATAAGATTGCTTACATTATGATAAAGTATGGGACATGGTGTAGTAATATAGTTGTAAAATATGATAATGTTATAACATATATATATATATATCATGTTACAACAATATAACATATAGTGTACGTACGATGTAACACAATATAATTTTGTACAGGAATGTAAAAGACAAGAATATTAAATATACTAATGCAGGACTATTCATTAGGGCAGGACTTTATCATTATCTTTTCATATCTGTACAGTACTGTTATTGTGGGACCATGAGGAAGATATTCCCAAAATACACGTTTCCAAATTAAAATAATTAAGGGATTCCTAAAAACATAATGGAAACCTGGACACCTTAATGATTTCAATGCTTTTATGGGACGAGTGGTGAAGGGAAGGGGCATGAGACAATGTGTGTATGTGTGAAGACATATTTACCTAAGAGTTTCCCATTAAGTGGGCTGCAGCACAGTAGTTTAGCTGCTGAGCTGGCTGCTTATTAGAAGCCCAGCTGCAGGTATCGTGGGCTCCTGCTGGTGTATTCACTGTATGTTAAAGGAGGTACATTTGCTCACTGACCTCTGCAAATATATTTTTTTTCTCATTATCATTAGCTGGACAGTGTGTGTTCATCGTTGGGGGATACAATGTGGGAGTTTGAGAATGTTCTATACGATTTCCTGTAACCATGAACACATTTTTTTGACTTCACTGAATGTTATTGCAGTTCTAAATCTGTTTAAAAGTAGCTGTCCTCAGTCTACTAAAGATAGATTGAAGAAAGTATTT